AATAGAGTAAGAATTACAATCAACCTTCGGTTCAACTGAGATATTCATTGCAGACTATACTAGCCTGGACACGTCACGGTAGTACTGCCGTTGTATAACAGTCTGCGACGAAACAAACCTTGTTCATTTGTATTCCCTTCCCTACCTCAGGGATTGATTGAAAACTTCTGATTTGTTCACTCTCTGAATAGCTATCACATTCAACTCTTTGAACAAATACAACCAAGTACTTCCATTTTTCCGCGATATGCAGAACCTTATGCAAACGGTCGGATGTTTGTATACTTTTCTTCATCAATAGGGTTATTAGCAAGAACGCCACCTAACACCACCAGCGGAGTTTCTCTCGCCCCTGCGGTTGAATCCTTCGAGATCTCTTCAAATTAGATTCAGTGATAATTCTTCACTAGTAGTATTGTGCAGGTCGATCAGGAGTGAATCAATCCAGCAGGAGTCCGTGTTTCATCTACGGATTGAATCACTTTTCAGGCTCCGGAGTTTAGGGTTTGGAACGTCGAGATACAGTTATTTCGACATGATATATGCATCAGGCGAACGGATAACGGGTCCATGGGTAGTGTTATTCTCATTGGCACGCCAAGGGGCCAGACTTTGATGACGGCCTTTCTTTACTGCCGCAGTACCTGTAGTACATAGAACACATAGAATCATATGGTAATCGCTACCATAAGTACGCTCCCGCGCAACGGCGAACAGCCAAGGAATCAAAACAAAAAAAAACATCGGTACGCCCTATATAACTGATATTCGACCAGCCTTTTCAATCGATGCCCACAATATCTTTGAAGTCCTCAATGTTACGAAGGTCTTCAAAGTTTCGAGTTGAGCGTTTGAATCTGTCAGACTAGTCTTAATGGTTTCCTCCCAATACGTATCATTATTTGGCTGTAAGTTTGAGATCAGAATAAACCTGCAGATGAATACTTTAGGGCTAGGAATCATACGGAACTTGGTCTTCCATATGCGGGGTGTAACATTCCTTTCTCTAGAACTTTAAACCGGTCTCCATTCAATCGATGGCTATCACTAGTAAACTCATTCTCCCTGATTGGTTCTCGTGACGTACAGCTTTGGCCTGTAAGCTATGAAAGCCCCAGGACAAACGAGACCACAAATTATGATAGTCTCTTTGACCAGATTCACAGCACTTAGCCCGAAAACTAGCCACTAACCTGAACTCATGTGTTTCCTCTTTGTCACCCTACATTGGACAGGGAATACCAATTGTGTCTGTTACTTTTACACGTAGAGTCTGACCCTTCCAACACGTCCGTTGCCTTTTTCAATCAGAACTTAAAGAACCTTTAAGAAGGGTCTTTTCTCGAAGCATGTCACGTTCTGTCATATGCATATAGATTCAGGGCCGTCCACGCTAACAGGAACGCCGAAAGGATCTCACGTATTGACCAAAGTAGTATATATTTCAAGTTTCCGTCTCATTATCGGTGTCTCTTGACCACCCACTTCGACTTCTCAGCAACGTGGTGACCTCGAACAGCCTTGACATGTCGGAGAGAGACTCAAAAGCAGAGTGAGGAATTCTCATTGCAACCTCTCCATTACGGCTATCTAAGTATCTTGGGCCCTGACTGCTTCCCACTTGTCCTGATAGAATCCGTCCTCACGTGCGTAAAGGTTTCTTCTAGCCCATGTGGTATGCCCCTGACAAAAACTACTTATGTAGATCTTAGCTTATCCTATTGATTCTTTCTTCTACGGTGTCTTGGTACTACAAGTCTGTACGCACGCCAAATTGCCACAGGCACTGGGTCCGCCTCTAACTTCAAGTGATATTCTATCTAGACATGTACCATTTTTCTTTCCCGAACGATAGAAAATGGCAAAAGATTCTCGTTTATTTCGTCTTCAGCTTTTCTACACTGGAAACGATACTTCAGTTGAGCGATATGGTCCAGTTGTTTGCAGATGACTTCGACACTCCAGGCGCCTTTACCAAAATACGAACTAGCAGCGCGTTATTACCTATATTCACCGGGATTGGTACTATTCCTTCGATTTGTTACTGCTTCATACACGCTGACAGTCCTCGTTATCAGTTAGTTGCGCCGTCCAACTATTCTACTCATACCAGATCTACATTGCCTTTCACTCAAAAATTCTTGGGACCACAATTGCCGCCGTAAGTGTCAAGACAGTCCCACATTTGTACTAGGTGGATTTACATTTTCTCGAAAGATTTCTGTCTTTCAGACATCAGTGGCAATAGCTCATGGTGTTCGAGCGTTTCAGTTGGCCGATTTAAGGGTCTTGCGACAACGGTCGTTCGTCACATTTTCAATCTGGTTGATTGGGAGCGCGGTATGCGATATTATTATCGCTATATCAATGACAATCTATGTAAGGTATCGTTGTACTGAAAAAAAAAAAAGAAAATTTATTGAAAACATGATTTTTTCAGCTACTCTGCACAGATTCCGACCTCAAGTACACTCATGCTCCATTACGAAAACTTCTGCGATTAATTATCGAAACGGGAACAGCCTCTGGTTCGCCATAATCTAGGTTATTCACGCAGAAAGTAACTCACTGATTGTCTTTCTAGCAACGTTTGCAACTTTAGGAAGTGTCATTTTTCTTGCAATACCCACCAAAACCGGGGTTCATCACATCTTTGTCAAATGCCTCGTCAATGTTTACTCCAACTCCCTTCTTATGGTTTTAAATGGACGTACATGGGTTTCAGAAACGAGACCAAGGCTGAGACACCAGTCTTCGACAATACCAATCGACACCATCTCTGAAGCAATAGATTTCACAAATATTCGTTTTACAACTCAGGAGAGTGGAAGTAAAGGAACCAGTACCAGTGGAACATCCAGTAGATTGCAAGGTTCCTCAAATGTATCTTCTGCCAGTGGTGAGATGCCAACACACTTTGATGCACAGATAGCATGACGACCGATTTATTCTGCTTTGAAGCATTTCATCGCAGTTCTTAAAAAGCTATTCCTCCAGACTTAGCTTATGATTCAAGGACTGTTGTAAATCTATCAACTTCATGTTTCTCTACGAGAGAAATCTAGAGCACTATAATGTTTAATTTAAAAACTCTTATAATCATCGATCCAATCCTTGGAGGTCGGGGACTCGGAACCCGGATCGGGGCTACTGCTGACGCACTGAACAATCCCCACTTTTTACAATAGATTTCGGTATGGTATGTACTCCTACTAAAACATTGTTAGAGGAACCTGTGCCTGTGCCTTTCCGCTCTAGTGTGCCTTTCCGCTCTAGTGTGCCTTTCCGCTCTAGTGTGCCTTTCCGCTCTAGTGTGCCTTTCCGCTCTAGTACCGAGTCAGTCCGCCCGATACCCAGTAAATTTATGATTTTCCTGGATATCACCAGTCACCATCTATATCAGACAGGACTGTACATTCGCTGATCGCCGAGTTCCGTGTCTTCACTTTCACTGCTCCGCGCAGCTCCAACGTCTTCTCGCCAGCGTTCCTTAGTATCCTTTCGTTGATCACAGTGATGCCATGACACGTGCAGTGCCACACCAACGAACCATTAATGATCAATGTGAAGTTATCTCAGAACATGCAGAAAACATGCGGCGTAGGCTATGAGTTACCTATGTATGAATTATTTTATGACTAGGTTGTTAACTCGATCCCCCCATCTCTGTCCCAACCTTTTCCTTCGGGCGCCCATTTTTCTTTTTTTTCAGCTCATACCCATATACCCCTATCTTGTAGGTATCGCCGCTGTGCTTTTTCTAGCCGACCGCAAAACGTGTAACTAATTTTTTTATGATTGCATCGGCCAGTCTTTACTCAAACATGGCAAACAGATACCCTGGACACTCACCCAGGTAAGTTCTTTGGCTCGTTGCCATCGATCTTGGGAGAAGATGGTAAACTGATCATAATAATTTTTTCCCCACGCAAACTGGTTTTAATTATGAACTATATGGTCAATCACTGAATTGATCTCGACTTAGGTACATGAATGATTTTAGTAAAGCACTCGCCGTCGAAGTCAGTATACTTCTAGAGGAGATGGGGAAGCTCCGAGACGAGAGGAGACAGTTGCAGATGTAAGTCCAGTGGAGTTACCTTCCTCATCCCTCGTTCTGAATGATATTAGAGAAATCGCCGAGCTTCTAGCAATGAAAGCTAAACACGGAAATGGAAGAGAATACGCATCGCCTACCTGGGCTGGTCCCGGGGCAGTGACAGAAGCACCTCCAGCACCTTCCCCTCCACCAGCGCCTCCAACTGACCCTACTGGCCCCGCAAAACCGGGATGGAGAGTTGTCCACAAACGACCCGAACGTAAACCTCGTGATAGAAGTGCTCCTGCTGGAGCATCTTCACCGCCGCCTCTAGCTGCGCTTCCCGCGCCAGCTCCAGTCGCTCCAGGAGGTCTGCCTGCATGGGCTCAGTGGAGACGTGAGTAGTGTTCCTCAGTTCTGTCAACAGTTGTTTAACAGAGATGTTAATGTCTTGCTCGACCGGTCGCTAGCCAATCCAATGTTTACACCGCCTGTAATGACACCAGCTCCGGCTCCAGTCCTAGACTCCTTCAGCGAGAGGCCATTGTCCCGACCCGGGCTGTTTGGCAAGTAGAACCATTGTTTTGTTCACTAGAGTTCATCCTAATTTCTTTGTTACCCTTCTTTACATTCTTTAGGGCCCCCTTCCCCTAGTCTGAAGTGAAATGAGTTTACGATCTATGATGAGTTTGATACTCGTTGAATTCCATTAGTTTATAACTCTGATAAAAAGGTATTTGCTTCGTGTACATAAGTAAAACCTCGAGGAAAACTTTTTGCAAAATATTATACATTTGGTTGCAGAGAAAAATAAGCTTATAATCAAATGAACGGAATTCAGTTCTTTCGAACAGACTGAGAAATGAAACATTTTGTTTCTTCCGCGAAGCTGTACACACCAACCTCTGCCGTGATTATTATAGCCCAAATAAAACAGAATCACTAAAGCTAAAGAACAACGAACCCCCAGCGGGACTCGAACCCGCAACCTCCAGATTAGAAGTCTGACGTCATAACCATTAGACAATGGGGGCCTGTTATACTTTCTCGCTCAGGCGCGTGTTGTTAGTTCTGACGAACAGTTTGGATATCATTTACAACTTTTACATTTTGCCCTAAGTACAAATTTACGACTTCGGCATATTAACTAGTCATGTCTGCTCATACTTCATCATGTGTGTGAGCCATCATTGGGACGGCACGTAAAAGCCTGTGGTCACTCGCATCAAAATTGTGTACAGAAGATTGTGGGGGGTACTTACATCGTTCGACAGAGTCAGCGTTATTTCCCCACTGTTTAGAAGGTCAGTCAGCTATTAACCCCTAGGAATATCAATCTCGGTACGTACCCAGTTTGGCATCGTTATAGTTTTAACGGCACTGAAAGCGATGAAGATGATCAACAGGTTACTGTTCGACCATAAGAATCAGCGCATGTGTTGTAATACAAACAAGTTCAGTTCAACCCACAAGTTATAGCCCGTATCGGCTCCGGCGCCAAACAGATAAGCGTATTTCTTCCAAAAGTCGTAACGATCTGTTAGATACAATCGGAGTTAGTTTTGTTATATTCAGCTCGTGTATGAAAGAGGACAAGACGCACATCTCTTGAAGTACAGATGGTTAATCGAACCAAGGATGAACAGGGTAAAGAAATCGTTTGAGATGTTTCCATAGCTTGATTTATCATCAGTCAGTTATTTTTGTTCGGGACGATACACTGAATGGCGCCCTACAAATTCTCAAACTTGTCGGCAAAAATGGCAATGTTCCACAAGTCGAAGCGCCATCTGGGACGCAGACGATGTAAACCAAAAAGAATGAACGGAACAATCGCGCCGACAAGGAAACCATAGAGCTAGAACGGACGTCAGATACACAGAGAGAGAAGAAATGATCAGAAGACCGTGCTTACCATAGGCGCGTAGACGGGATCGTCGAACAAGCGCCTGGGCCCTACGAGAGCAAAAGATATACTCTGATTGTACAGCGAAATGACAGTTTGACCCTGTGTGTTTGAGTATGGATTTTTGAGATTGGCTCCACCAGATAGAGATTCATTGCGATACTTACCGTCCATTGATGATTGGGATCTGTCGCTCTTCCAGTCAAAACGTCGCCCTTGGTGTTACAAACCCAGAGAACTAAAAGAGAATGATGAGAATTCGGAAGATTTTCGAACAATTGCACTAACTAGTAGCGTAACTGTAAATAACAATTTGAGATTATTTAGTTTGGATTGGTTTCATAAAATAGAAACTCACTTGACTGGCACTCCCACGAAAATACCCCAAACCTGAGCGAAAAGGACTGCTCGAGGAGGTATGTGGAACTAAAATAGGATTAATAGACGAGCTAGGCGTTTCCGTTGTAATCACGAACATAGTGTCCACTGTAAGAATTAGTTAGTTCGAAATCCACTTTGATTTGATTGACACTTACAGTTTCATATCAGCGAGCATGCTCTGGGCTTCGTACCAGCCTGCAAAACCATTCGCATCTGAAAATGTTCAAGAAATAACAACAAGGAGTTAAACTTACACTGTCCGCTAATAACTCGATAACTAAGAGATCCAATAGGATGCCTCGATCCACCGGCCTCGATAGCATATCCATAGAATAGCTCGTTGAAGTAACCGACTTGCATTTGATATCCACTAACGGCGTAAATGTAACCTATCATCATACCGTCAACAGGATGTATTATTTCGAAGAAAACAACTGACCCATAGGAACCACGATGCAGGCCCCGATAGCAATGCCAATGAAAAGCATGTATATCGGCATATACACTGTGAACAATGTGAGACAAATGATATATGATAGACAAATGATGAATCCTTACAAACACCCTTTGCTGTAAGGACGGTTAATATGATTAGAGGGATACTGGGAGCCGTCCGTTAGTAGTGATTTCACGTCGTGGATAAGGCAAAGAGATTGAAGTGCTCACATGAACAAGGCTACATTCCACCATAACGGCACAGAGGGATATTTCCGAATCAACTGTGTAAGCTTGTCGTTGTATGCCCTTTCCTGTTTACGTTGCTCTACATAGGTCTTATAGATCATGGGACCTTGGAACAAGGCACAAGACACGAAAGAACCGATATAGGCAACGTATGCGAAGAAGTCTGTCAAGGACGCGGACAGGAAATTAAAGAGAGACCAAAAGGTGTTGTAGATGGAGGAAAAAAACGTACATGCCCATCGAAGTTGTGCAGACATCATAGGCGGACCGATCTCTTCGAACAAAGTAAGATTCAACTGATAGTCGGCCGTCATAAGAGAATCGGTGGGATACTGTGAATTTTTTGCCATGCTCGCTTTAGCAACACAATCAGTCTCAATGAAATGAGGTTTAACCCCCACCTTCGATCCGTTCCTTAGATATAACGTCTGCGTCTGAATGGGATACTTGTCCGAGTCCCAAGCTCCCGTGAAGAAACCAATAGGGACGAGAATCCACGCTCCAATGACGGCGGCAACGAAGATGTTGATCTGAGCCCAGTACGGGTAGTAGATACACTTCGAACCGATGTTGGACCAGTCGAGAGTGATATTAAGCAAACCCGATCCTCCCAAACCAGAGCCTAGTATGAAAAGAAGAATGTAAATGAGAAATACAGTAAAGACGCTCTTAGCGTGGCAAAGGTTTTTACGCACCTAGAAATTGAACACTGGGGTTTTTGGAGAACCAGCAGAGGAATGCGAGCGAAGACGTAAATGGGAAAGCGTACTGAAGGCCGTTTTGGTGATTTGTAAGTAATTTGGTGTGATATAACATACCTCGGGCAAGAACTGCCAGCAAAAGAAGCCAAGAATGCACCACCAGAAGAATGACATTTGCTTCTTTGCTTCGGTCGACTCGGACCTAAGTGAGCTACGCATCGCCTTAAACACGGCTGCCTGTTGTAAGGCTTATTTTTACGACGTCGAATTTAACAATCGCAGGACTTATAAACTACAAGTAGCCAACTGGCAACTCACTCAGAGGAAACATCGTGTGAGGATTCTCAACCAAAAACGTTCTGGCGAAGGAAGCAAATGAAAAACCGATGAACACGGCGGAGAGCTGTTGCCAGAGTACGTCAATCTTATGTGCCATAGAACGAGTGTAGATTCTAGAATGTGACGTACCATGAACAAGATTGCGAGCCAGCCATTCATGGCTGATGGCATTCAAAGAAAGCACGCTTTAGTAGGTGTCTGTAGAGTAAGGTCGATTGGAATGTCCTCACGTTGATTGTAAAATACCTGCAATGGAGCAAGTACATAATCACCTAGATTGTTGGTACCACCAGTACTCGCGCTGTAAGTCGTATACATATAAGTTTCATCGATTTAGACTCAGATTAAAAACGGCTCACGCAAGGACGATAGCAACATGTTCTTTGATATTAAATTCACCCGGGTTCAACTCGAACCAGAAACGGTTACCAAATCCAATCTTCTTCTGAGGAAGGACTGCGGCAAGAAGACGACCAAAGTATAGAGAGGCGATTTGGACAAAATAGACTGCAAGAGGACACGTAAATAAGGGGAACAGAGGTTATAGGAATGTTCGAGACCGACTTGAGTAAGGTACGTAGGTCGTCTGATGGTTACGAGTTAGCGGAAGCAGGGTTTGAGGAACGGAACGGAACGCTCACCCGAAAGAAACCCATCTGTTGCAACCAAGCGCCCAGGGCAGTAAAGATAGCTGATAAGAAGTAGAATCTGTCACGATTTGGAGACAAACGTCATTGATAAGTGAAGTACAAAATGAAAATTCTCCTGTCAGCCGTACCGCCATGTCAACACAGGCATGTTGACGTCGTCCTCAAAATCACACAACTCGCGGACGATCTGAGGGAGAACACTGTAGGCTGGATCATCGTCGTCACCTGAAAAACGCTGGAGTTGTCAGGGGAACGGGGAAAAAAAGAAGAAATGACGAGCCTTTGGCATCATAAAGTTCGGCCCCGTCTAGTAAGCTGCTTTCCTTGACGACTTCGATGTCGGACATGCTTTTCTTCTCGTCGCCAAAGTAGTCCATCTCTTGGTCGATCTTGCCTTTGTTCTCGTATGTGAGGACATTGGTGTCACCCACTGGGTTCTCATTGATCTCTCCCATGGTTCTCTGCGTTAAGGACCAGGAGGAGTATTCAAGGGGCGAGTCAACAAGGGGAAACTTGAAGGAGCTCGTGAGGAGTACTTGATAAGGCGAGACCAGCTTTTAACCATTATTCGAATAGAACCTAGAAGCATGTGGATGTTCCTGAAATTGGGCGGTCAATGGATGATAAGGCCAAGGCGTTTATAGAAAGGCTTGGATGCAAGAAAATCAACGTTATCATTCGTGAGGATGGCGCATTAAAGCACGATAAGGCGCTCCCCAATCCCCACGCTTCTCTGTAGCCACCTGACCATGTGTCTGATTAAGGGGAGAAGGTCATACGAAACTGAATGAATATAAATATTCAACTTATCGTCACAAATACAAAGACTCAGCTACTATGGTGAAGCATTGAAGCCAAGGAATTCGAATAGAGCACTTTTGGCATGCAACACTCCGTACCCGCCGGAAGCTCCTTCAAGTTGTTCTGATAGAGGTTTCCTAGCTGTCAAGTCATCGGGAGTGACTGTCGTCGATATAACATTGTCGTAAAACTTGCCCGAGTTCGCGTGATCCTGTTTGGATCAGAAGCCTCTGCATTCCTCGGTTGATGGGTCCAGGCCTCGATGACCCAGTACTTAGGTTGTTTATTCCTTGCGTAGCCAATGAGAACAGATATCGTCAAGCTCCGGGTCGCTCGTTCTCGAACCATCCTTTAGGGGCACAGAGTTCGTGTCTTTGCCGCTGCATATAAAGAACCTGCTCAAGTAGGATGTGATACATAAAAGGTCGCATCTTGCAGCACAAAGCTAACAAACGACGGAAAAGCTTGCAGTAGAAAATCACAATCAGTATTCGGATAGCTCATATAGCTGCATAACATGGTACTGTAAGAAATCCAAGTTCGAGTTGCGCGTGCAGGATAACACCGTAACG